GTTGTTGAAGGAGTGATATCTGCCACCACACTCATTAACAAGAGCCTGAAGAGCATTACTTTCGCTGATATACAGATCTAATGGTTTTCCCTTCAGCTGATCAGCGTGAGTGAACAGAATGATGGTGTGACGTACAGCTTCTTCTCCAAAGTTCTTCTGAATCCATTTCACTGTGTTTTTCTCCTCATGTGTGAATCTCACACCCAGTCTGATGACCAGCAGAAACACAGGAGGACCAGGAGCAGACATGTAGACACACTTCACTATTTCATTCTTCAGTTGTTCTTCACTCATCGTTGTACCATACAATCCTGGAGTGTCGATCACTGAGATGTGTCTACCCTCCACTGTAGTCTCATGTCTTTCACAGTGTTTAGTAACAGACATAGAGGAAATACCTCGCTTAAACTTAAAGCTGCCGATGATTATATTTCCTGTTGAACTCTTTCCTGACCCAGTTATACCCAGCAGAACAATCCTGAGATCTCCTCCACCTCCTCCTCCGTCTCCTCTATCTCCTCCTTCTCCTCCATTTACTAGTATTATGCTTAGTGTTGTATTAGTGTTGTAGTGTTCGTCTTGTTCATTATTTTTCTGGGCTTGTTTATACATTTCATTAGTGTAGTGTTTTCCTCTATTGATCCTCACCATCTCCTCAATCTTCCTCGTCAGTTCAGTGACCTGATTGCAGTTCTCCATGTCCTGATTGTTAAATGAGTGAAATCTTCCACCACAGTCAATAACAAGTGTTTGGATCTCGATATTTTCTCTGATATACTCATTTAATGATAGATCCACTAGTTCATCAGCGTGAGTGAACAGAACGATGGTGTAATGTGCAGCTTCTTCTCCAAAGTTCTTCTGAATCCATTTCACTGTGTTTTTCTCTTCATCTGTGAATCTCACACCCAGTCTGATGACCAGCAGAAACACATGAGGACCAGGAGCAGACATGTTTACGCACTTCTCAATTTCAGCCTTGACATCTTGTTCTGACATTCTTGTATCATACAGTCCTGGAGTGTCAATTACTGAGATTCTCCTTCTACCCATCACTACTTCTCTTCTCTCACAGGTGTTGGTAAATGACTCTGGTGAAAACTTTGTCTTAAAACACTCTTTATGTAGGATGGTGTTTCCTGTCGAACTCTTTCCCGCTCCAGTTTTACCCAGTAGAACAACCCTCAAATCTGATTGTGGGAGAGACATATCAAGTCATGCAGGTTTAAAAGAGCATGAGGGTGAGTAAATTATGACAGATGGAGTGAACTATCCCTTGAACCATTTGAACTGATGTAATGTCAAATGTTTAAATCCAATCATTACTAAAATATATGAACCAAGTTTATAAAAATGCCTAAATATTTTTTAATGACTCTTCATGATATTTAAACACAGAACTGTGTTAACATGTCTGGTGGACAATAAATGAGTAGCGTTCCATTATATTTTAAATTCTACACTGTAAAAAAAAGTTGCTGCCTTATATTTTTAAGTAGAAATGTTATGTCAGCATATTTTGTATTTGTACTAATTATTGCTTTGTAATATTACCAATAAAACGAGACAGATTGCTATCCCTACCATCTGTACAAGATTTTAAT